GCGCTTGTTATCTCTGCAGAGGGGAGTTGAGAACTCGAAATTGTTTTCTAATGACGCTCGTCTTCTATATACATCTTGTTTCTTCAGACGTGGGTTTCGTTTCGGGTTTTTTTTTCTTTAAAAGTCTTTATTTCTGGTCGGATTACAACTGGCGCCTGTTATTCGCGCAAGTCATCGGGTTTATACAAAAATAAATATTGGTTTCACCGGGCGTAGACACGCGTAGCTACATATTATATATCCTCGGGTCTGGGCCTAAACATGGCCACGTCATTATAGTATAATATATGGAATAAATAACGGAAACATTCCGAATTTGAAAAGCGTATTATTTTATAAATACGTATAGTACATATCATTAGGTAGGTACACAACACGCAACTCAAAAAACAACGCACTTAGGTATATCGCGTAGCTGGTAATTAAGTTATTTTTTAAAACAAATGTATAGCCAAGTACTGCTCAGAAATATTAAAGTAACAAAAATAAAAACTTCAACGCAATGAAGTTCACGGATTTATGTACCTACACAGTCGCTCGACTGTGGGCGACGAAAAATTGTTTGACGGTTTTTCGGAATATTTCTACCTTCGCCGCGCGTCACTATAATACGTGTAGGGGAAAAACAGTGACAAATGACGAAAATGACTACGACGACGAGTCGTATACGTGTATAGTATAATAATAATAATAATAATAATATTATAATATTATATTTACCACTGCACGCTAGAAAATCGTCAATGTCATCGTCGTTAAATAAACATGGCACCGGTAGTAATATAGTAGTCATAGCAGTGATGGTGTAGTAGTAGTAGTGCCTATAGTATACAGCGTTGGCGAGTCGGAGTCATTAAATTGTCAAGTGGTTTTTTTTTTTTTTTGGTGGGCGGGTACCCGGGGGGCTTGTTCGTCGTCGTCGTTGTCGTATAGCTGCCACCGCGCCGTGTCGAAGTGAAGGCTGCATTGCACGGAAACGCGTATTATATATATAGTATATACGTATAATGTACGCCTACCCGGACGGGAAAGAAGAGGAAACCGAAAATAAAAAAAATACAAAGTTAATAACAATAATAATAACGAAAAGGAAAAAAAAAAGAAAGAAAGGAAGGAATGAGAGAGAAAATAATATAGGCACTGAAATTCATATTTTCCAATTACCTTGCAAAGGCGGCTAATATTATCTCAATGTAAAATCACATTGCAGTTCACCCGTGAACATAATATTACAAATGTAGGTATACTCAGTACTCGCGTATTATAAAAAACCTATTAATATTATATGAATTATGCGTATACACATTGTGTAATTTATCAATTATCTTAGTATTATTATAACGTTATAACGATGCACTCGTGTCGTCGGTTTTCATATAAATAATCGGTGACAGCAGCGACGGTCGTTATAATAAGATACATTATTGTTGTATACAACGGAACGAATCAAAACGCGACTTTGATTGCCGCGGCTGTATAGCGTTATGAAAAAAGTGGAACAATTATAAAAAAATAAAATAAAAAAAATGTCATAGTTTCTCCCTTGCGATATTTGCGGGTTCGCTACAGGGCCGACGATGGATTTGTACTCTATTTTTTTATTTTTGTCATTTAAAATGCCCTCGAGGTCCACCACACACACACACACACACACACATGCACGTGTTATACTCGCTATGTGTATAATAATATATATATACATTCATGTTACACAGTGTCCGGCGACCGGCAGAATATTACGTGCGGCGATCAGTGATAAAACGGTTTTTCTTTGTTCGATTCTGATAAAAAAAACACGAAGACGCGGTAGTGCAGCATATAGATAGGCGAGTACACAATGTATACGCACACACAGATAGAAATAGGATGAGAGAGAGAGAGAGAGATGGTATAGGAAACCATTCGCGTCATTAGGGCAATCGATTTCAATCTATTTCGTTATACTTTGAAGACTGCTACGTCCTTTATTTATTTATTTTTTCCTTCGGCGCTCTTTAGGCCCGAGTACCCCGTAATAATATGTATACTCGTACCGAGTCACTAACTCTATACTGCTGCAGCATCGTCCTATACTCTTCTATATGGTATTAGGATATTATATTCCGGAGCAGTAGTGTGTCCTGCTGTCGTCGTATATTGTCGTGCAATATTCGTTTTTGTATTCTCCGAGCAAATAGAGCGCGAAACGGGCCAAGGGGTTATGCGCATCGTCGGAGGAGGAGGAGGAGGGGAAGTGTTTTTGTACGGCCGATTAGGCGTACGGCGATTAAAGGGCGAGGGTGAGCGCGTTCAAAAGACCGTTAACCGGATAAAAGAGAGTGTACGAAAACATAATAATAACAATATATATGTACACTAACACCGTACATATATATAGTATTATAGTATATAATATTATAATATGCGTGTGTATTATTTGTATTATACCGTAGAGCCGATGGTGACAGAGAGTGAGAGAAAATTGAGATCCGAGAAATACGCGATGTTACACTATATATTGTATCCGTGGAAAAAATTGACAGCGGCGACCGAGTTTATTATCCCAGATAAAGGTATAGGTATTGTGCATAATATACCGGCGGCACCGGTCCGGGTTATGATTTAGAAAATTCTTTCTGCCCCTGCTCGCAGATGGTCTGCCGCACGACTATTTAATGCTTGTTTAAAGATAATTATAATAAATACATTTTATAATATAGATCCGTCCGAGTGTATGCGGCGATGACGACGGTGAATCGAAGCGAATATGATTATAATATTATAATAATATGCACGTGAAAAGTGGACAATGACATTATAAATAAACTATAAATCAACAATAAATAAATTAATTATTTTAATAATATTTACAGCAGTAAATGATAAAATAATAAACCCGCATGCCGTAGTAGCAATAATCTGTAGATTAATGCGCGTTCTCGTTAACAATGACATATTTACACGTCTTCTACAGGCTGCAGGCGATCATTTAGTGTCCATTTGGCTGTTTGTAATTTTATAAATTTGGTACATCATCGGACTAGGAGCTTATAGGGTCGGGAGTCAGGACTGACTTATGGGTGGGCGCTTAATCGATTTTCAGTGAATCAATTTATTATTTAATCGGAAGTATCAGTAAAATCATATTGTCTTACAATTTACTACAGGCGTGTAAACAATGAATTATAATATCGTTTTATACTATACCAGTGTTACCAGCATTGCAGCATTTACGACGTCCCGAGCACTGAGTAGGGACCATAAATATTCTCAAAACCGGCCAACTAGACCCATAGCACAGTGTGGGAGAACAGAGTTTTATGAGAGAAGAGCACTAAAAAAAATTTAATTTTTACATATCAAGTATAGTTTTATTAAGTTTATAATTAAATAATAATATTTTATTAAAAAATTTGGTGGCGGTGCGCAAGTGGGCAACGATTGAGTCTAGGAGGGGCAATACCCCATTCGTCCTCCTTTACCGTAGCCTATTGGCCTGCTAAAAAATGTTCATTTCGTCTAGCAGCTTTATATTATTGGGCTAGACTCTAGCGTATAAATATATGAGTGGTATGGCTATAATATATACTATAAACCGACTATTGTTACAGTATTGGTGCAATCGTTATCAAGGGTAACTCTATCTATTTTGGAACCGATAGGTACGCGTTGTACAAGCTGTAATTTAATAATATTTAATATATATAGGTACAAACGTATGTTACATGCGGTAAAATTAGGAGGCACACGTGAACGGGCGTCGGCCGGATTGATTATACAACAACACAATAATAATAATAATGATAATAATGACGCGTGGACCTTTTTTTTTTTAAACTGTCGCGATTGTGTTTGCAATTAAACGTGATTAGTGTGTATTCGGCGGCGGCGCCGTTTAGTGATGTGGGGGCGGCGATGGCGAGGGGACGACATCCTTTCAAACAAAATCACCGTCGCCTTTTGTGCCCTGCTATATACGCACTTCCTGTTTATTATAATACGGTCGTTCGTATACGCGAAAAAATTTAATAACGGGTTATTGACGTCTACCGTCGTCGTCACCAGGTCCGTCCGTCCTCATCGGTGGGTGCGTGAAAACGACGTTTGGCCTGCGAAACGTACACACAAGTTTATAAACCGATTTCGGCCGGCAGCGCCCACAATAAAATATATATACCTACGTCGCGTTTCATGAAATATCGTGTGAAAGTCTATTTTATGATCTAAAACATCATATTATGTACTTAGGATATTTACGCGTCAGTATATAAGCGCGACACATATTGTGTATTTGACGCCATGTACATAATTTTTTGAGAGTAGGTACATATTATTATAACAAATAGTATTGGTATATTAGTGAAAAACTTTATAAGAGGAAATCAAAAGTATGCAATCCCAAAAATATAGAACAGGATACATTAAATTACGGTTAAGTAAAGTAGTATATAAGGTGGCTGATATAAAACAAATTATAAAGCTGCAAACTGAGCATTCTTGGGGTGACAGTGTTCATACGAGGTGGCGGAGTTGTGATGAAACGTAAAAAGCGAGTTGTTTCTTATGAAGTAAGTAGGAAAACGGAATGAGATTGATGCGAGGAAGTACAATTAAATAATATAGTGTCCTAGTGTCCTACATAATATACTGGATCTCAAATAGCCCTATATAGATGAATATTATTATATATGCTATGCATAATATATTTATATAATATACCAATATTATAACAAAATCAAATCAAAAGTTAAGTAATCAAAAATTAGTTGTACCAGTAGGCAGTGGAATATACATACAAAAAAGGTATAGGTACAATGGTATAATTTACGATCGTCTATGTACATATTTTGGGAAGTGCGGGTGACTCTGGCTAGTAAAATATTAGCCCCCTGCCACCACCATGATTCTGTAAAATCTCCGTCTACGCTCTAATATAATATAATAAGTTTATACAAATTGATATAAAAATAACAACAGCAATATTAATTCGGTTTATTTGTTTTTTTTTGTGCCATTCGCAGGATGCAACAGCAGCAGTTCGCCGCACAGTTAGCGCATTCGGGCGGCCGGCACTTGAACCTCCGGCGGTCCATGTCACCGGGCGCGGTCAGCACCACCGGGTCCGAATCGAGCATCAGCCTGGGCGCCCCGTCGCCCGGCCCGCCGTCCATGCCACCGCTGCCGCTCCAGTCGCTGCCGCCCCCGCCGCTCCAGCTGACCGGCGACCCGCCCCGCATCGGCCTCACCAACCCGTCACCGTGCACGTTACCGCAACCGCTGGCGCTGCACAGACCGTTCACGTGATACAGCCCGCCTCACCCGCCGATCACCGCCGGCTGGTGATGCGCCTTCCGCCGACGACGCGCACGGTTTGATTTGTTCATTTTTGGTCGTTTCGTTTTCTCTCTCACTGTTTAAAACAACAACGACGACAACAACAACAACAACAACAATAATAATAATAATAATAATATCATATTCCGACAGCGTCGATCGTCATAATTCAAACTCATAACAATAATATGATGATCAGTCGAAACTTGCACAGATGTAATAACTAGACAGCCCGACCATGTACGCGTGCGTGCACCCACATCGATTTCGATGTCCGACGTCCATTTATTGTCTCAAGAATATAGACATATAATAAACAGTGCATGCGTGCAGGTGAACTTGATGAAAGTTTTCAGACTTAATGTCTTATATATCCCACCCACCTATGAAAGCCGACGAAGGCGCACACAAGTTTATTACAAATAACGATGAACTTCATCGTGAAAACATTATTTAGCTAATAATTTACTGTCAACTACCCACGACAGCCCACCCACCCCAATTTGCTAATAGGCGGCGCCGTCTCTCGATCACCTCGTTTTCGCCACGCCACTGCTGGTAAAATATCTCTATAGACTATAGCAATATTATGTCGATTGTCTATTACAGTTGTCACGCACTTGGTCACTGTTCACGAATTTGTATAGTACCTACTACTGTATCAGACTTATGTACTAGTTCGAATGTCCCCTCCCCATAGGCCTATATTGCTTAGCACCACATAATATAAAAATTAGTACTAATTACTAGATTTTGAACTGGGGGGACTTGACCGACATTTGGGGGACTAAGCCCCCCCCCCTATTTGCGCCAATGTACACATTAATTATATTTTGTGTGATTGCTAATCAATATGGTACACAATATTAACCTTGTGGATCATTGAACAGTAAAACTAAGTCATTCATTTTCGTATTTCGTTTTCTTATCACGCGAACTACTCTATTACTAGACATTGTGGCATTGTGCAAGCAAGTCACTACAGCAGGGCGCAGACATCATTATCATTATAATAAGAAAAGATTCGGCTGTTTAGTTATAAATCTGTGATCGATACCATCGGTAGATGTGAATATTTCTGGTCGGAGATTGCCGAAAACCAAAAATTGAAAACATTTTAGCGGTACCCCTCCCCCCACCCTATTGGTACATGCATAATATTATTATACATTCATTATTATTATTATTATTATTATTATTACTATTATTATTATTATTATTAATTATTATTATACATTATGTTATAATGCGCTTGTACCGTGTTTGTAAAAATAAAAACATTTTTGCCTTTAATATTTATTCGCAAACTATAATATTAATAGATTTACCATTGTAATTTTTTTTTCGGACGATCCGACCTCTGATACTCGTCGGATACGTATATAATTTAAATCTGTATAAATATACCCATAAACACCTTTCGACTCTTCGTTTTGTATATTTTAGAGTCTTTGTCTACAGTGCATATTATACATATATATATTAATATAATGACTTTAATTTGAAACGATATAAATGTATAATTTTAGTGTGTAGAATTATCGAGAGACTTCGCACTTTAAATTATATTACATACTTTGTATCGCGAACATAATATTATTATAAAATATATTATTAAACACAGTAAACATGAATCACCCTGTATTTGAGCCCCATAAGTATACATATGTATATACTTTGTTTGGACTTAGGACGCCTATATTGTACCTTTATATTATATATATATATATACGATAAACGATTACTATATGTAGCTTATAGCATTTTGTAAATAGTTATTAATTTTAGTTCGTTTAAACGGTGCAATTAACATTATATAATTTACATAAATATATTGTACAAAAACTATTCTTTATATTATTATGATATTATATACATACACTTAGCAACTGATATAGGTATATACTGATATATACATATATATATATATTATAATAATATCCATCGTGTTATAATATAATATTATTATGTCAATATATATATGTATATTGTATATATATATAAGAGAAACATATGTAACTTTTTTTTCGATGTGTTTAACGTAATAATCAAACTTATTATAATATAAAATAATTATAATGTAATAAGGCTCATATGGTTATTACAAATCATACGTAGTTTCATTTATTTGTGCTATTTCTCGATGATTTTGTGCGACGCATATATAGTAATAATATTATTGTATACATTTACTGCGACCACACTGCAACGGAGCTGTTTATTAAAACAAAACCGAAATATATATTATTATTAATTGTTTGTTAATTACGTTTTGATTTTTGATTTTTGTTTCTATTCCTCTCGCGCACTGCTCACACACCACATGCAGTGTCGCCGAGCTATAGCGTATTGTCGAACATTGTGCTGCAGACGTTTTAATTGTTATTTGAACACACCACACAACAATAAAAATAATAATATTATAAACAGGGAAAGGATTTTTTTTTTGAGCAGTAAGTACATAATTTAACACTTCTAAATCTTATTAAAATTGAACATGTTACCTACATAAAACACGTAAAATAAAATAAAACGGATTCATTATTAAGAGTAAATTTTTTTGGATATTTTGAAGTAAATAAATTGTCTTGAATATTTTACGAATTAGTAGGAACATAGGTATTTCGTTAAATATTTCGTTTTTTTATATTTACCTATTCACATGCATATTTGCAATAATCATTATTCGATCGTAAACCGTAATGTGTATATAGTATATTACTACAGAGAATGTAGTGATTAATTATAAATAAAATGGGGTAAACGATTTTTGATTTTGCCATATCATCTGCGTTATACGATCTATTACTGATAATATAGTTTCTACAGTTCGTCAATTTGTTTTTCTTTTCTATTCAGTACATTTCTTTTTTTGTTCGATTCAAATTTGTTTTTAAATTTATGTTGAATTTAAATTTTTAGTTATATATTTCATTATTTTTAGTGAATATTTTGGCAAAAATTACAACACAATATATTATAACACATTTTTATTCCATAAAAATCCGCGTCCCAATTTAGAATACAGCATAATATTTTCTTATAACAGAAAAGTCGACGACCCTTGTGTGTTACAACATATATAGCCAGTGGCGTAGCCAGGAATTTTTTATGGGGGGGCTAAGTATACAAATACAATGTGTTTTTTATTTACGCTTTTAATTTTTTATTAATCTTGATAAAATTCTAAGGTCAACATCGGTCAATGGGGGGGGGGGCTATAGCCCCCTTAGCCACCCCCCTGGCTACGCCACTGTATATAGCCATATAGGTACTAGGTATGAATATTATCTATGTGTGGTCGTTTGGCGTGTAGCACTATAATGTACGAAACCGCACTGCACGCACGCGGGCACAATGCGTTCGTCTTGTGAGTGACACTCCCGGAGATAATTCATCGAATTCCTGGCAGATACGTGATTTATTTGAAAGCGAACGGATTACACTGGATGAATAATAATAATAATAATAGTATTAATATAAAGTATTGGACGCACATATATCACTCGTCCATCTCGTATACACACGTATAATATGATATTACATTATTATATTATATACCATAGTAGTATAGTGGCTTTATTTATTATTATTATTATTATTATAATCGTTCTTTTTTTCGGGATTTCTGGGCAACCTGTCAATTTAAGAAGCATTACAGTATTTAGGGGCTACCTAAATGTGGTCTTCTGCAGGTAAGAAAAACGTAAAACCAACATGTACCTACGAGGATACTATAAATAATATAATAGTTCACTGTGATGTATAAAAATATAAAATAGTATTTATATTATTATTGAGATAGAATAACACCCTAACGGAAATAATTTAGTACGCACCTTTGGTCAGAGTGCTGTACACCGATTAAAATACCCACTATTGACTATTTTTATAATATATTAAACTATTATAATATTATTGTAGGTATACCATAGGTACCATACGAGTTTATTCGTATAATCCACGAATCGAGTTTCCGATACGATCAAAGTATAGTGGGTAGGAAAATAAAAGGGATAATGTATTAATGTACCATATTATATTAAATAATATAATATGATAAAGGTCATAGATGGAACAGCTTAATCGTTATCTGATAATATACCTTTAATATTATTGTAATCTTGTTCAGTGCTAGCCGCTAGGTACTAGGTACACCTATGCTGTATGAGGCGCCAATAAGAATTGGTTAATCACACGCTGGTAAGTTTAACAAGATGTATTTTGATAAATTGGGCATCTGCACCTATTCGATTAATGCGAACAAGTGGGATTTGTTAAATTGAGCATCAAATTAGTATTACGATTTATGGGTATTAGTGAAACTCGATTAGTGCAGGGTACTTTAAAAATAATAGATACGAGTGCGATAGAATGGACCGCACTTCAAATATGTCTACATCCTATTTATTTATTTATTAGTTTTGTTTTTATTAGAAGCTATTCTTCGTCATTAGTTTTGAACTAGGTTACATTATAAACGGTATATACATGAAAAAAATTTAATTGTATAGTATAATATTAGGTAGGTATACATTATAATTTGTATTAATTATATATACAATTTATAAGGTTTGTTCTTGATTCGAATTTGGGTAGTTTGAGGTTGTTAATCGTTCCCCTTTTCAAGAGCTTAAAATTTAAATATTAATTTATATGTTATTTTTAAAATTTTTTTTTAGTTTGCTTGAAAATGTATCACTGCCCACTGGTGATTCATATTTTATTGAATACCTATATAGCTATATAGGTGTTAATGTGTTTTACATAAAAGTATATATCTTTAATAATTTCGGTTGTATTTGATGAAATAACTGTTAAAACTGAAGTGACAAAACAACGCGTTTTAAATATAGGTAGAAAAGGTGCATGTCTATTATATTTGTCTTGGGGGCCGAGCGGACTAAGGCGTCGGTTGCGACGCACACCGACGCCGGTTTGATACCTGGGCCATGGGGCGGAATTTTTCT